GCGACACACCTGGACGACACACCTGGACGTCAAGGGCAGGGGCGCCACCCAAACACAGCCAGGGGCTGGGCCCTGACCTCACGGATAAGCCCTAGGGATGGGCCAGAAAGACTTTCATCTCCCAGAAGACAACGCCCCTGGGTGCCGAGCACCTGCCCAGAGCAAAGCCGCCGTGCTGCAGAGAGGCCAGCGTGTTTTCACAGCGTCTACGCACAAGCAAACGCGACATGTGAAGCCGCAGTTACCTCGTGTAGGTGTTCAGGACCCACGTCAGCAGGCTCACAATCTCATTCGCTTCCAGGTCTTCCGAGGCAAGCTCCTGCATCCGCGTGCTCAGCGCCTGGTGGTACATGCTCAGGAGGTTCCTGAAAATCTCATAATGCGGAGGAAAACACTGTGCCATCAGGGTCTTGGCAACGACGAGGTCATCCAGGACATACTTCCTTATGATCTCCAGGTGGCGGACGAGCCACATCTTGTCGGACTCCCTGGTGTCTGCCTGTGTGCCCTCGATTCTGGTGGTCACGGTTCTGTCCAAGACGGCAAACATCTTCTCCTTCCAACTCTTGGGCCTCCCGGGAGGAACGAAGCCAGTCTGCTTTTTTCGGTCGAGTATGCGCCTGTCAATCTTTTCTTCCCTTTCGATGATCCTGACAACGGACACCAGCAAGGTGGGGTCACGGCGGACGGTGACCAGCGACCTCTGCAGGACCATCCATAGCTGCTTGGCCAGCTCGTCAGAGAGAGCCTGCGTGCTCCCGAAGTAGCTGTGGATGAGGGTCATGTCGCGGGTGTTCCTGCTGTCCATGCGGTACTGCTCACACATCAGCCCGTCCCGGGAGCACTCCAGGTCCATCAGCTTCCGGTGGGCCTGCAGGAGCGCTCCCTGCTCTATGAGGTCCTGCGTGTCCCTCACAATCTCAGGCACTACGGAAAAGGCACAGGGTGGCACCGTGAAAACCAGGTGAGACAGGGCAGGGTCCCGGGGGACAAGGGGGCCGGAGGAACCAGGACTCCACTCCCTACCTGGATGACCGCAGGGGCAGAACCTGTCTGATAAGATTGTTCTGGAACTCTACGGTCTACTTTAAGCTTGCAGCTTCCGGGGAGGCTCAGACAGGACCCGGTGGCCAGTATGGTCAATTCTGGCTCTTAGCACAGCAGCAGCTACTTGGCCCCAGCCACGCCGGCCACATGTCCCTACAGCAGCTTGCACACAGTGTGCAGGAGCCAGGGTGCTCTCAAGGGACCCTGCCCTCCAGCGATGAGGGGTGTCTGCTCCAAGTGCTGCCTGCTGCTTCTGCTTCTGGTCACGGGGTGCAGACGTGGAGGCGGGCCCCACTGCTGTTCCACGCCCCCACTATCGCCAGCCGCCCCCCACCAGATGAAATGACTTCTGGGGGACTTACAAGGCCAGTGCCTTTTCACCCCTTCGTTTTTCTCCTTTTCCCTTGTGGAAGCAGATGTTTAAAGACTAGAACGTTTACATGCAGGCTTGTACGTGGGGACTCAGAAAGCGGCCGTGTAGGCCAGGCCAGGCACCGGCTGGGAGACCTGAGAAGACCCGGCGTGCAGAGGCTCATGGGAGACGACGACCTGGCAGACAGGACCCTCGAGAGAGACTCGACGGGGGAGCGACTCGATGAAGACTCTCAAACGAGCCTAACAGACACTCAAAGAACTAAGAAGGACGTGGGGAGACTCAGAAGACAACACACAAGCAAGATGGAAATGTGAACGAAGAGACAGAAAACCTAAAAAGAAACCAAAAAAATTCAGGCGCTAAAAAATGTACAACAATCGCAATAAAAATTTTACTTCAGGGATTCAAGGCACTTCTGAACAGACAGAAGAAAGTCGGCAAGCACAGGCAGCACAACGGAAAACATTAAAGACACCTGACCGGGACCAGAGGGGCCTCAGGGACACTGTTAAGCTGACCAACATGTGCCCTGTGGGAATCTCAGAAGAGAAAAAAGAACAGAGATGATCTGAGTAACAGTGGAAAATTTACCAAATTTGATGAAAGACGAGAATAAACATCCAAAAGCTCAACGAACTTCAAGGAGGAAAAGCTCAGAGACCCACACGAGGCGCATTATAATCGAACTACTGAAAGCCAAAGACGACGAGAGAGTTTTGAAAACAGCGAGAGAGACACAACTCGTCACCTACAAGGGGTCGTCAGTGAGGTCATCAGTGGACACTCTGGAGAAAGGACAGGGGCTGGTATATTCAAAGTGCTAGAAGGAAAGACTGTCATCCCAGGGTCCTACATCTGGCAAAACCACCCTTCGGGAGTGAAGCAGCAACAGAGACGCTGAGAGAGTCTGACCCCCAGCCCCGCCTGCAAGGGGTGCTCGAGGGGGCCTCGGGGTGAAGTGAGAGGACACGAGACAGCAACCTGAAGCCACAGGGAGAAAGAGAGACCCCAAGAAAAGTAAATAAACGGGTCACTGTAAAAGCCAGTATTATTTTAACTTTGGTTTGTGACTCTATTTTTTATGCTACATAATTTAAGAGACCAACACATATAGAGCAAAAAAACTATTATTCCAAAGCTGGTATTTCTGTAACTCTGGTTTATAATGCCACATTCTGTTTTCTGCATAATTTAAGAGACTAACGTGTTAAAAAAAAAGTCCGTCTGTTTCTGGACACACATGTATAAAAATGTAATTCTGTGACGTCAATGACTGAAAGGAAGTGGGCGCGGAGTCGTAGAGGAGCAGAGTTTTGTATGTTTTGAAGTTAAGTTGGCATAAATTCAAATCAGAGTCTAATAAATTTAGGGTGTTACATGCAACCCTCATGGGAACCAGAGAACAGCTATAGAATATGCACAAAAGGAAATAAGAAAGGAATTAAAATGTTTCCCCACAAAAAAAATCAACTCAATACAGAAGACAGTAATGCAGAAAATGAAGGACAAAACGCACTGTAAGGCAAATAGAAAGCAATGGAAAAATGACAGGATTCAGTTCTTCTTTATTAACCACTTTAAATGTAATTGGATTAAACTCTCCATTCCAAAGATATAGATTGGCAGAACTGACAAAAATCATACAACCCAGCTGTATGCTGTCTACAAGAGTCTCAACTGAGATCCAAAGGCAAAAACATATTGAAAGTGAAAGAATGGAAAGATATTCCATGGAAACAGTAACCAAAATAGAGCAGCGGTGGCTAAACTAATATCCGACAAAACGGACGAATAAAAAAAAAGTTAGGGGAGACAAAACAGTATATACTAATAAAAGGTTCGATACAGCAAGACTATGCAATTACAAACACCAACTGACCATCAAAATAGACGAAGCAGAAGCTGACAGAGCTAGAGGGAGAAACACACGGCTCTATAATAACAGTGGGAAACTTCCACGGCTCACTCACAGCAATGGCTGGAACCAGCAAACAAGAAAACAGAGGACTGAACAACACGACAAACCACCTAGCTCTAACAGACGCACGCAGAACACCACGCTCTTAAGTGCACATGGGACTTTCTCCAGGAGCGACCGAAATCTCGATAGATTTTTAAAGAATAAGTAACATACAAATAGCTTCTCTGACCACAATGGATCGAGTTAAAATCTGTAACAGATGAAAAGTTCGCAAGTTTGTGAAAATTAAATAATATTCTTAACAAGTCCAAGAAAAAAATCACTAGGAAAATTGGAAAACAGAGACAAATGAAAATGAAAACACAAAATACCAAACCTTAGGGGATGCAAAGAAAGCAGAGCTAAAGGAGAAATGAACAGCTACAAAGACATTAAAAAAGGAGGAAGATCTCAAATCAACAAAGCTAACTTAACAATTTAAAGAATTAGGAAAAGAATACGCTAAACCCAAAGCTACCAAAAGCAAAAAACGGTTAGAGCAGAAATAAACAAAACAGAAAACAGACAAACAATAGAGAAAAATAAAAACAAAACAAAAGGCAGTTCTTTAAAAAGATCAACAATGGACAAAGCTGGAGCTAGATGGACTAAGAAAAAAGAGAAGCCTCGAATGTTAAAATCAGAAACGAGAACGAGAACATTACTACCGATTCTACAAACACGGAAAAAACAGTAAGAGAACGCCATGACCCGTGGGTGACCTAGACCGAGCGGCAAACTCCTAGAAACGCACAACCTACTGAGGCTAACTCGCCAGGGAACAGAGACTCTCAATGGGCGTCTAGCTAGCACGGGCTGGCGGGAGGGGCGGCGGGGCCATCACCCAGCAGGCGCAGGGTTCTGGGTTTTCCAGTTTTGAGGTGTAACTGACACACAGCGCTGCACAAAGAGGCTCTGCCTGTAAGGTGAGCTGGGGAGAGGGCGGTGGAGACGGCCTCACAGCAGCGAAGTGCTTAATGCCACCAAACTGAGCCAAGGGTCAAAGTGGTAAATGTGACGTTTCACGTCCCTTACATTAAAAAAGCAAGGAAAGGTGGTGTGCACGGCATGACTGAATTAAGGCGCCAAGACGAGCCTGAAAGGAGCCAGACAAGTAAAACACCCTCCTGACAGGAAAAATCCGCTCCTGACATAAAATACGTGTGCCACGCAGGCGTGTGCATCTGTCAAGGGAGTAGGGTTACTTCACCGTCTGTGGATGAGCTGCTTCCAGTAAAGGGACTTTGTGGCCATTTGGCGTTAGCTGCACGGGTGGGAGGACGCATCAGTCAACAGGAAATCAGAGGAAGAGGGGGATTAACCAGGAAGGCACGGGCTACATGTCACGAAGGAGATTCTGGCCTGGGGACCTTATTCCAATTCCGGGCAGTCAACAGTCACCCAGACTAGCTGCTCCCTAGGCATCCACGTGGAGTCGGCAGCTGTGTCGTTCACGGGCGGGGAGCAGAAGCGACTCAGAGCACGGCCCCAGGAAGAGGAGGCCACAGACAACGACAGGCCCAGGCGCTCAGCAGTGCTGCCATCAGACACAGGCGTGAGTCCAGAGGAATGAGGGCTGAGCAGGGCACAGGTCACCAAGGCACAATGTGGCAGCAGCAAGGCCACCTGTGCGGTGGGCTCACGGCGGTGGGCGGATGGAAAGAACTGTGCCCGATCACACACAGGGGACAGGCAGGGTTTGGGGAAAAGCAGAAAGAACTCGCTGAGACCAGGCACGGGACAAAGGGAGGGAAGGGGCCAGACCATCCCAAGGCTTCCTGCTGGGACGCTGGCGGCACTGCCAGAGGTGAGCGGCCGAGGGGAGAGACGGACGAGGAGCCCCTATCTCAGCGCCGCGGAGAGCGGCTGTGCTGGACACAACGGGGCCCCACCAGGTGACAGCCGACACCTCGCCCAATAAGCCACAGAGCACTCTTCCCACGGACAGAGGTGCGCCCCCACACCTGCCTGCCCACACCATCCCACCAGCCCAGGCACCCCGCACCGTGACAGCTCTGCCTCCCCCAGGGAGGGCTGCTCTCCACGCTTCATCACCTCTCCATCTGGGACCGCTCCCCGACCCTTTGCTCCCTGACCCGTTCGCAGGGCGGCTCTCCCAGACCACGAGCCTCTTTCCAGGGGGGTGGTCGGCCGACTGCTCTGCTGCTCTGACAGCCACTCTGCCACGAGGGAGCCAGCCCACACACACCTGTCCCGGTACCCGCCCCTCTGCCTCTGTCCTGGCAAGCGCAGAACTGCTGGCTTTTACCTGCTCGGCTGTCATCTCCTCCACACTCACAGTGAGAAGCTAATGGTGTGAGCAGCAGCCACACCTCCTGTGCCCCCTGAGACAGGTCTGCGAGTCACACTGCTCAGAAGCCGGACTCGCCTCCGCGTCACCCCCAGAGTGAAGCCCAGGCGAGAGCCGTGCGCATGACGCCCCTGCCGCAGCCCAGCTACCTGAGAAGATGTTCTTGAGGTTCTCCACGGCAGCGGCCAGCTGGCTGTGCCGCACCACGGCGTCCTTCACGTCCCGGAGGCTCTCGATGGTATTGATGCTCCGCCGCCAGTCCTGGCTGACGTCGGCCAGGGACTGCTGGACATCTTTCACGTCGTTCAGCGCGCTGTGCAGCTGGCTCAGGCCCGCGCGCACCCCATCCAACTGCGACTGGATCGCGGCCTGGGGGAGACATGGCCCTGAGCGGGGCTAGGCAGACGCACCCCTCCACGCAGGGCCGAGCGCCGGAGAGACGGCTCAGCAGCAGGGACCGTCGCTACCCAGAGAAAAGGGAATAAAACTCCACGAAGACTCACGTGAGTCCCGAGGTAACTGTTCCTTTTTTCCTTGGCTGCCTTGGCACGGTGCGTTTACAGTGCGTTTTACAGCTTTCTGAGAAAACCTCACGCCAGTCGTCGCCCAGACCCTCAGCCTGAAGACGCGCAGCACCGAGGGCCCGCTGCCACCCCTTACATGGCACCTTCGGAAGGGCCCTCGCCGGACCTCCTAGCTGCCTCTCAGCTTCCTGAGACCTTCTTTAGGTGCAGAAAACTGTCAGCTTGACGGGGAGGAGTCTCCTGCCACGTGGCCCGACCCGGGCTCAGCTCAGGGACAGCCAGCCCCACTGCACAGGGCGGGTGCATCCGGAGTTCGGACTCACACCACAGGCCCCCGCAATGCCACTCCACGAGCTGCCATCAGAAGGGAGAGGGCACGACGGAACAGCAGCAGGTGGGCAGGCGGGTAGGACCAGGGAGCATGAGGTGCATTTAGATATAAAAAATTAACGACGACTATAACAGATGACAAAGTTTCTAAGTCACGATCAATAATTACTATTAATCAGACAAGTCCCTAGAACAGATTAAAATTCTGATGAAAATTGTGGCAAGTCCACACTAGTTCAAAACTAAATATGAAACTGCTCTTTCGAATCCATGCGGCAGGTTCTAATGCTCCCTCGGTACAAATGAACGGCCTCATCCCGCCTCACTCAGCTGGCCGTGACCCCGCCTGGACAGGTCTGCAAGGGGAGTGCTGACCTCACTGCCGGATCAGCGTGAGAATGAACTTGCCTCAGAGACAAGGCCCAAGACCGTTCTGCCGCCTGTCAGCTACGGCAGGCCGGGTGTGAACACTTCATAACCACACGAATGTGCGTGTTTTACTGACACTTCACCTCTTCACGTGAACTAAGCTAAAAGCCGATTCAAATCGTAAAAAACCTCAAGAATGATTTTCTCTCGCCACACACACCCTCACTCTCTCACAGAGTGTGTCTGACTGTCCTCCCTACCACCCAGGACGCGGGCGCACGGCTGGCCTGCTGCACGTGCCCACGTGGCGGAAACAACACTCCCGGGAGCTCTCGCAGGAGAGCTAACGCGTGAGGATAACTGACACCTTCCAGTGTTTTTTAAAAAGTTAAAAGGGACACTCTCAGGTGCTTCAAAAGGTTGTTTCTCTGGTGTTTTCAACATTCCGTACTGTTGTCTATAAACCTAACGATCGGGGATGCACCGTCGCGAGGAACGCAGCAGGTAAGGTGACGCTCCACTTGGCCCCTTTCCCCGTCACCACAAAGTCTAACTTAGCAAAGTGACAATGATGTTTAGCAGGCACTTGAAACTCGAGGACAATGACTGCCCTGCCTGGAAAGGAGGCGGGCGCGCGCAGCCTCTTGGGCCTCGTACCTTCAGTCTGGCCTCCACGGAGGCCTTCTTCCGGGCCTCTCGCCTGCGATACTGCTCCACTTTGTCCAGCTGGTCCGGCCGCTGGAGCATCCCGGCCACCCTCTGCACCGCGGTCGCCACAGCCTCCCGGCCGGTCTCCTCCATGGCTAGAAAGTGGGCGGGGTCTCCGGGCCTGTCATACCAGAGGTGCCCTGTGTGCATGCGGGGGGAAAAGACAGGATGGGAGACAGGTTCGGAAGATGGAAGTGTCCGGTATAAAACCCGCGGTTAGTGTTCATGATGGAAATATAGGAGAGAGTCTGAGACCACGAAACCACGACGCCCAAGAGAACGAGGATTATCGACTCCTTCATCGGAAAGGCAAACCCTCAGAACTCAACACGGAGCACGTCCTCTAAGCGGTGCAGGGGCGTGCCCAGGGACGACACGGGAACGTATGGCAGTGTCGCTGTGTGGACCCCAGACCACTTAGCATATGAGATGCCAGTCCAAGGCACTTCTCTGCCCCGACAGAGCCTCCTTCTCATTTCCAGAGAAGCCCTCACACTCCCTGGCCATGCTGGTGGGGCAGCTGTGCCGGGATGCCTCAGTGAGGACATGGAGGCACAGGGACAGCACACAGCTCGCCACCCCCAGCTGAGGCCCCAGCACACATCCTATGACGCCCCTCAAAAGTCTCTACTGTCTGTAGCGTCCGAGATCCCATTTCCTATCATTTAGCAGCCGTAGGAAACAAAGGGGCGAGGGCAGAGGCACAGGTCCCCCTCCGCTCAGGCACAACGGACAGGGCACAGGTGCCCGGATACCACGCAAACCCGCCTTCAAGCCCCACTCCACCGACATCCTGGTCACGGAGAAGGGAATTCTGGTGATCGTCTGGCAAACGTCAGGGTCAATAAGAACGGGTTCCCTTGACTTCAGCTGTCGAGCTTCCACTTCTCAAAGATGTGGAAAAGACCCACCGTCTCCCTAAACTTCTCTTACCCCATTCCCACGTGCTTTCAGAATAACACGCGAATCCACGAGGATTCCCCCTAAGTGCTCTGTCTCAAAAAATTCCCGTTGTACATGATACGCCTTTTCATTTCTCCTTCAAATGGAGCTGCTGCAGCCCGTCTTTCTTTTCTCATTATGAAGTTCTGCACCAACGCAGAAAATCCGAAAGAGACAGGACAAGAGGCCCGAGGCAACCGCTTTAGAGCCCACCCACCAGAGGCAGGCGCTCCGGTCAGGACCCCGCCTTCGCTCTGCGTTTCTGAGTGACACCCGCCTTGCGTACACGACCTCGTTTCCGTTTCTCTAGTTCCGCTGTCTCCAGCATCCCACACGCACTAAGCGGCAGGACCGGTCGGAGTCGCCCAGAAGGGCGTCGAGCGGTGACAGGTGCGGCGGCGACTCAGACCGCGCCCCGGGCTGGGTGTGGCCCGCAGCCCCCGACCGCCGACCCTAGGG